TACGCATACTACATTGCTGTTTCTGCTTCCCCAGAGTATTGCCTGCCTCCTGTGGTTATTTTACAGACTTCGACATGGCTGTGACATGAGGTAAGCCCTCACTAATGCTTTATTTTCTTTCACAGGCCCCTGCTTCAGCTTCACTTTGGATCCCACTCTGTGGCGAGTGGTGCCTGACTAGGTATTCTGTCTGTACTCAGAATGGGTTCCACTTAGGTGGCTCTAACTCTTCACAGACATCTTGATATCAAATCTGCACTGAAAGCCATGTTAATTCTCATACATTTATCAGGCTATGTATGCTCATCTTTGAGATGGGGTGTTTCACAAGATTAGTAGAGTGTAATTTCCTCATGATAATTACATCATAATATGTCTGTCTTCAGGCCATACTGCTCATGGATGGCATGGGTAAAGCAGAAAAGTATTGTTGCCCATCCCTGCCATGCCTAGATTGAATAAATTGGTGTGGTCTTGCTTTTTAAAAATGGGGTTTTGTAATCACCCATTGCACTGTCTTGGGTGTTGCAGTCCCTCTGGACTCTCCACTCCCCTTTCTTCCAGTGGAGTACAGGAGTCCTTACCACTTACCGGGTCCAAGCTGCTGGGGTGGTTGACTATGTAGGCCACCTGCTGGATGGGTTCCACAAGGATGGCTATAACCATTTAGCTCAGAGTAGGATGGTGGTGTTCTGCCAGTGTAGAGGGAATTAAAGATGGCCTTTGGAATGGGTTGTCTTTAGATATAAATTTTAGCTTGATAACTATATGAATAATAAGGACTAATTTGGATTTTGTTTTGGTTTTTATGTAATAGTCTTAGTCTAGTTTAGAGGATGGGACAGCCTAGATGGACCCTTGTTGTCCCTAAATGTTATGTTATTTAATAGATTACATATAACCACTGGCAGCAATTGTATCGATTGGTTTCATGTCAAGAACTCAATTAATCAAAATTCTGATTCTGTCAACTGTCGCAAAAATAATCAACTAATCAGATTTAGTTTTACTGATTATTTAAGCTTATACCAACTATTCAAGTAATCATAATATTGCTACCAAACTTGCTCACTCTATCTATGCTATAGCATGACTAGAGGGAAGGCAACTTTCTGAGTATCTAATATTTGTATGTACCACAGATTGAGAAACATTATACTAATTGATTTGGGGGCTGTCAATTAATCAATGAACAAATATGAATAATCACCCAGCTCTAATAATAAATATCCATATTTGTATTTAATTGATTTAACAGTTGTCCACCAGGGATGTAGAATGACTCTTTTTCTTTTGGATTATTTCACATTAACCATCATATATACATAGGCCATTGTGTATTGTAACTTGTTAAACATTATTTGGGCTTCTTTACATTTTTCTGAAGGCTGTTAATGCTCTTGCAAGATCTATATTTTATAACATTATCTGTAGTAATATTTTCTAAAGAAAACAACAAACATTTATTCTTTTCCTCATCCTTCTCTTAAAGTTTGAAGAGGTATTTAAAAATGTGCTGAAGCTAAAAATAATATTAGCTTGAAGTTTTTTTTTCTGCAAAACCTACATGATTTACAAATTTATCAATCAACCAAATAACCAATTTTGATATGTTTTCCTTAAAGCTCATTAGCATATTTTTTTCATAAATAATCTTTTAAAAATAAAATAAAGTCAGATAGATTACATAATTGTATACAGTACTACACCATAATTATTTGGATGTCTTTTGGACATGTGGCATGGCTACCCAGAATACTCTGCTAGGGAATATGATAATAATGCCAGATAGGTCAATTGGTAACATCAAAAAGTATGTAAAATAACCCTGGAAATAGTGAATTTAAGAGAAAGGAAGCCATAATCTGCCTGGAATGTGAAAAATAATTACTTCATTTGTTTGATCATGTACATAACATGGATTGTGATAATAATGAAACTGTGTTATATCTATGAATATTTGAGAAACAAAGTTATAGCATAAGAGCAGTATTTCTGATATATTTATTTCATGAAAAATGAGCTTTTGTTTCCTCATACTTCTCATTAGTTGCTGAAAAATGTAGTTAGTAAGGTGAAATTAGATCTCAGATATATTTCAGTTTAGTAGTTTGCCTTTTTCATCAAACTCTTGATTTCATTAATTTCATCTTATCAAGAAAATTATGCCAAACCATATAACTTTAGGCACATGATAAAAAAATGTTAAAACAAAATTTGATTTCTTAACTACATATGGAGTAAGAACCTGTTGTTGTAGGAACCACAGGTCCTCCTTGTGATGAATGTACAAACTAAAATAACTTTTAATTGGTAAATGGCACATTGGATATAATCAAGTTATGTTATATCACACTTAATTGCTATTGTTGTATGTAGTCATTAAACTTAATTAATGGTATGTGACAATTAGAGTGTAAAACATCTGTTAAGTTTAATAAAAAAATTGACACTTACTAAAGCTAATCTTATAACTCAGTACTTAAAGCAATATCATTGTAAAATAGTTACCAAATAAATGTGATTTTGCATAATTCTCTTTCTATCTTGTTTCATTATTTAGTTGTTTTTATTTTGTATAGTTATATTTTATTCTTAAAGAAAGCTAAACTATTAACGTTTTATCTTTACCAGACCCAGAGATATTTTTAATCTTTAACAGTTAAAATTGTACTCTTATTTTCAGGTTGGTGGTTTTGAAGTTAATTTGAGTTTCACAGTATGATGCTGAATGAATGTTAAATTCATTTTAGGAATTGTATTAATTTTTTTTTTCAAAGAGTGTATACAACTTCTGCAAATTCTCTCAGTAAAAATAACTCATCATGAGATGTTTTTATTTTCCTGTTGAAGGTGACAGCTATTAATAATCGTCCACTTGCTGCAAGTTGGTCAGAAATGGGAAAAGTCTATATTTGGGACTTATCTCATCCTCTTCAAGCTGTAAATGTTCCACATGTAATGGCTTCGTATGTTCGGAATAACGAAGCTCCCAAGCCACTCTTCACTTTCACTGGTCATCAGTCTGAAGGATTTGCTGTTGATTGGTCTCCAACTAAACCAGGTTTTAATTTTTCTACATTATTATTTAATGCTACCCTATTTTAAACAATGAGGTGTCAAAATATTTGTTTATTACATTTCTTTTATGAAAATAAAGAGTGGAAGATTCCCATTGTTAAAATGCATGTTATAGAGAAATACGAGAGGGAAAAAGATGTGTGTGTTTTTGGTCTTACTATAAAATTCATGCTTATCAAGTATGTGCAGCTCATTTTGTTGATGAAATCTATCTTAATAAAAAAACTTTTTTTTTTTAGTTTACTAATGGTATAACTCATTATAAAAACAGTTAAATATAGCAATTCAAACAAGATACTCAATTGTAACCTCGAGTTATGTCTCTTGTGGAGGTGGTAAATTCCAATTTGGGGTTTTGTTTTGGGATTGGTAATGGGTTCTGGATCTCTTTTTTTTTTTATTCACCTTTTTTTTATCCCTTGCATACTTCAGGGTTCAACATTTTTTCATTATTTTCTATTGTTTTTCAGGTTCCACATTACCTTGTTTTTTTCTTTATCTGTTTTACAGAATTAATGCTTCTTTCTTCTTAAGGAGTGCAAACACCACTCTGCTTATTTCTATCCCAGTTTCTCTTCACTGTGGGCATTGTGACTCTTTGTGATGGTAGAGATTCACTACTGTATTTAAAAGTAATATTTTAAGAATAAAATATAATTCAAAATTATGTCTACTGTTCCAATTGTCCTCCCTTTCCTGTTGAATTTGGAAGAAAATGTGACCACATAAGGTTGTCAAGGCAGATGTCAAACACAGGTAATAAATATAATGTAATAAAAGGTGATTGGCCAAAATATTCTGTCAACAGATGGCACAAAACATCTGACTACCAACATAATGGTCCCATGCAACATGAATTTGAACAATTTGCAAATGGGAGACAGTTGATTTATGGCACAAGCAAGAGAGATAGCTTGAGTATGTAGTATAAGGAATACATGTATTTCTTTGAATTATATTTTAATAATAACATATTACTTTGAAGTAGAAAAAATTAATGCACAGTTGTTGTAAATAATGTAATAGTTCTTGGATGTTTAACATAATTGTGCTACTAAATTTTTTAATTTGTCATAGTATTTATAATATATATAAACACACAGACACACACCTTTATTTCTACTTTACTTTGTAATAAATATTTAGGTCTTACAAGAAACAATCTCTCCAATCATAGTTTGTTGCAAGAAATAAAATAACTTGAAAGCAATATTCAGTAGAAATTACTATGATGTCCTCTGCCATGGAAATCATGACCATGTTGTAAAAGTCAGTTTTTCTTTTGATGATGTAAAGGTTTTTTTTAAACTAATATTCTCTTGTGTGACCTAGTCCTTGTTTCTTCTCTCTAATCTTAAGCATTGTTAACATATATTCCAATGTTGTATTAAATTTTACATAGTAATTTATATATCTGCTTGCTAACTCCTCGTGCCGTTCAGTAATTTAAAAATATACACTTCGTTTCCAATATGCTATATTATAGATCTGTACAATAAATTGACATATCAGTTAATTAATGACATTTGAAATAGACTTATTTAGACTTGCCAGTTTATAGATTAGACACTATGTTCTTATATTAATTCATAAATATACATGAAACCTAAATGGCAGTTGTTGTCTGTAGATGTACACATAATCTGCTTGATTTAAAAACAGATGCTGTTAATACAGAAGGTAATTCCTACATAGTAATTTATAGATGTACACACAAAGCCTACTTGATAACTTAGATACTGATACTATTAATTCAATAGCTAATTCTTACATAGTGATTTATAGATGTACACCCAAAACCTACTTGATGATTTAAATACTGATACTGTTACTCCATGAGTTAATTCTTGCATAGTCATTTTTAGATATATATACTAACCCTACTTGATGATAGATAATGATGATGTTAATTCATGAGCTAATTCTTACATAGTGATTTACACACAAAATCTACTTGATGAGTAAAGTATTGATGCTGTTAAGCCACAAGGTAAGCTGTTATGTGAGAGGAGGTAAGATATCATATTGGAATCATCAAGCAGGTTTAATGTGTACATCTATAAATTACTATGTAAGAATTAGCTTGTGGGTTTACAGTATCAGTATTTAAATCATTAGGTAGGTTGTGTGTGTACATCTATAAATCACAGTATAAGAATTAGCTCATGGATTAGCAGTATCGGTATCTAAATCTTAAAGTAGGTTGTGTGTGTACATCTATAAATCACTATGTAGGAGTTGTGTAACAAGCTAAGTTCTCCAAAAAACAAGTAACTGATTGAAATTCCATGAGTAGAGGTCAAGAAAAGAACATGTCTAAACACCATGAGTGACAACTGAAAAGTGAATTTGAGCTAAGCTGCATAGAGGGAGTCAGCTGTGTTAGGCATTGTGACACACTCCTATTTGTGGAGGGTTATCGCATGCTACCACACAGCTGTCTCATATGAAAACAGGTGAGGGTAGGAGGGAGTATCAAGACTAGAGGCGAGCAAAAATTTGTGCATATAGAGGGCAGTACAAGTACAGATTAGTTATCATCAATTCAAAGTTTAATGTTACTACTACTACTGGTGGACTTACAGCAGTTACTGTTACTTCATCTACAATGGTTTTGGGTCCGCATTTATCGATGGAAGACGTTACAGCCTTGGTTTGCTGGTTGTTGGCTACTTTCATGTAGGCTTCAGATTTGCCTGAAGATTATCCTATCATGCCTTGTTCAGATGTATCTGAACAAGAGTATGATGATTTCAACAGCCTGCTTCCTCCCTATCACATGCCACACAGTCATATTTAACTCCAGTGGATGCACACAGTCCTTCTCTTTTCCTGAGGTGGATCAGCCAGGTTTGTTATGTTTTGTCCTTGTCTCTCATTTCCTTTGACTCCTCTTATTCTCTTTTAATTGAGACATCTTTGGCCCAATATCTTGTTTTCTCCCCTCTCTTGATATTGGGGTTCATGCCAGTATGTTAACAACCCAATTACATTCTGGGATCAGTATACCTTAATCTCTACATAATATGGAAGCTCATGCTTTGGCTTACCATAAGTCTGAGTTTTTTTTATTTATTCACAGCAGTTAGATTCTCTTCTGCCTCGGTGTAGTTTGGATCCCATTACTTCAGTCATGTTTTCACAACCTCAGTTCTTCTGTATTCACCTCACCTTATCCTCCTTCCTTCATTCCCTTTCCTCCGTTCACCTTTTTCTTAGGTCCTTTGTGTCCTGGTATTTTCCATTCTGGTATGATTGTTCTCTTCTGCCCTTTTCCTCCCAACATAGCTCCTCTATTGTTGAGATTTTTTGGGTCAGGACACACTTTGGTCTTGCATCTGTTAAACCCCAACCTCCTTACATGACTTACATATGGCTCCCTTTTTGAGGCAAGATGTCTTTGTGGGCCTTTCTGACTCATTAGAACCCAGAGTCGAGTCTGCCTATTTGCCCATCCCCCTTTTCTCATTGGCTTCCTGTTTCTCTCAACATCCTCCTGAGCCTGTTCTTGTGTCTTGTCCCCCTTCTTCCTAACCTATATTGGTTCATGCTTCACAGGTCTCTGAGGTCAACTGTTGGTTTTTATTTGACAACTTCAGCAGTCCCGGTGACTATGGTAGGTACAGTTCTTGTGGGGTCTAAGATTTTGCATTTTCCCACCATCTCAGATCCTTGGGTTCTGCAGGTTCTTTCCAAAGGGCTCTTTTTTTGCTTTTCTTCCTTTTCTCCCCTGTTCCCTTGTCCTTTTTCCTCCCCCACCTCCTCAGGATCCCAGTTCCAGCCAGTGTCTGTCCGAGGCAGTTCTCAACCTTCTTCACAAGGGCACTGTGGAATTGGTGGATCTTTCTCAGCAAGGTTTCTATTCCTGTTTGTTTGTTGTCCTTAAGAAGACCGGGGTATGGCACTCTATCATTGATCTTTCTTCCTTGAACTGCTTCCTTGATTCATGGAGTCATACCTATCTCTTCGATTGGTTTTCACTCCTGGTCTGTGTCTTACTTCCACATAACTATCTTCTCAGCATCCCAGCATTTTCTTCATTTTTTCCATCTGGGTTGCATCTACGTGTTCCAGGCTCTTCTATTCAGGCTGGCATTGGTTCCTTACGTTTTTGTCGGGTGGTTCCAGCCTTTGCACATCTTCTCCATTCCAGGAGCTTTCATTTCCACCATTACATGGACAACTGGTTGCTTCTAGCTCCTTTTCATGCTACCTCTTCCCTTCACAGTCAGTTTCTTTTTTTGAGAAACTGCACAGGTAGTTTGGCTGGTCAAGGTGAAGAAGTCCTTCCTCTTCCTCACTCAATACCTTGTTCATCTCAGGGTATTTTTCAATTCCCATCTCAACCAGGGCCCAACTTTCTCCCCTTTACCTGCGATCTTGAGAGCTTCTGGTTTGGATTGTTTCCTCTTCTCCTTCTCCAACAGTGCAAGAGGCTCTATCTTTTTTGGGGGACATGGACTTTGGAGGCCCTCATTCCCCTCAGTTGAGCCCACATGAGACCTCTTCAGTGGGCTTTACAAGTTCTCTGGAACTTCATTCAGGATCCCTTAGTCACCCTATTCCATCTCCCTCCTTCCCTGCATGTGGACTTCACCTGATACTTGAACTGAGACAACACCACACTATGTATTCCATTTCCTCTTCCTCGTTTGGAAAGTGAGCTTTTTCATGGATGCTTCTCTTTCAGGTTGAGCTGCATATCAGGACAGGAGATTTCAGGACATTGGTCTGTAGCAGAGTCATCTTTGCATGTCTCTTAGAGCTGCGTGCTGCTCCTTGGGCTTTGGTTCATTTCCTTCTATCTCTCCAGAACCGGTTGGTTATGATCCATTCCAACAGCTCCACGGTTGTCTCATACATCACTCAGTCATTGTCTCTATGTTCCACACATTGGACCTCCCGTTTTGGACCCATTGCCATCACATGTACTTTACAACATACTGTTATACTGATTGAAATTGGAAGAATTTGGTTTTACAAGCATAGCCTTATCAAGTCCATTAAAATATGTACAGTGTAATTATTTGAAAGTTATGATAAAAAATTATTAAGTACTTACACTATGTTTATGGTAATCAGATATAGGCTACTAACCATGTCAGTGAAACATCTGTCAGTTGTTAGTCATGTTATGTGTGATGTGGAAAACTTCTGACACATAAAAAGTCTCAATATGACTGATAATATACCAGGTAAATACTTAACTTTTTGTTGTATTGATGTTAAAGTTGTGCCAGATCATTGCTGTAGAAATATAGAATGTTGACAAACCACATTTTGAAGATAGTAAAGCCATGACAATATTTCTGAGTTTAGTAGACTGAAATAAAGAACTGTCATTGTGACCAATTTAGCTTGTAGAGTAAAACTATCTATTTAATAGTATTAGTTTTGTACATTCCACTGAGTCTGGAGATGTATAGTTACACACCTTTTGCTATTATAATATTAAAAATTTACTGTTTTTCAAATATTCTATATAGGTGTTTTAGCCACGGGTGATTGTAAGAAAAACATCCATCTATGGAAGCCTCTTGAAGGAGGGACATGGCATGTTGACCAGCGAGCCTACACTGGACACACAGCATCTGTAGAGGATCTCCAGTGGTCTCCCAATGAGCCATATGTGAGTAAGTGTAAAAGTAAAATTGTAGGACTGTAAGGATTCACTAAAGGTATGATTCATTGTGGTTCATTAGCCAGAATTATGTACATGGATCATTTGTGCTGCAGATTGGTTCTTTTTCTTTTTTTCTGAATGTCCTTTTATGTTATATGAAAACAAATGCTTTAAGAAATTTAATTACATATTTACTTTTCCATACAAGTGTGTGATTAGACTATGTACTGTATAACCTTTCTAAATGTAGATTTCACTGTCTTTAGTAATGTGGCTTGGAAATTCCATTAATTGGGTTTCTAATTTCTCTTGAATACCAAGTATCAAGTTATTCAATAAATAATAAACCAAACTGACATGTGCTGTGTCAACAATGGCTGACTCATCCAAGTGTACAATAGAAGATGCACCTTCATCCTACCAATCAGCTATTTGAAAATATTTGGGGTTTGAAGTTTGGGATCAAAATGAAGTAAGAAAAACTGATCATTGAAAAACAGTATGTGAGATTAGAACAATGTCAAACATGGTCACACACTTGAATGTTACAAGAAACAAAGGAAGTTAAAGGTAAACTCTCACAAGCTTCACTTTCTGAAAGTAGTAAAGGTCATGGTATTACTCAGCTGAAACTCCAAAAAGTGTTTAAAATGAAATTAAACCTGAATAGTCCAAGGGCAAAAGAGATAAGATCTATTGGAATCTTTATGACTAAACACATGAGACATTTTCAGTGGTGGATAGTGTTGGTTTTAGGGATCTGCTTAGGGTTTTGAAGCCAAGATATGAAATCCCTTCTAAGACTTACTTTCATACTGGAAAAGGATAAACTTGACACTGAATTAAAAGGTGTTTCTTCTGTTACCCTTACCAGTTATGGATGAACTTTGAGATCTGCTGAAAGCTACTTCACTGTATTTTTATAAATGACAACTGGGAAATGAGAAATTACATTCTACAAACAAGATAGTTAAATGAGCTGCATATGGCCTAGCACTTGGTGAATGTACTGAAAGAGGCTGTATCTTCTAGGGCTTTCATGTGTTGCAAGTGGATAGGTTGTTAGAGTGGGTCAAAAGGGGTAGTTTCATTTTTGCACAGAAGTTCAACAGCAAATGGTAAATTGAAAACAAATCATCTTAAGCTTCATCAACACAAGCTTATTCAAGATGTCCCAGCCAGGTGGAATTCTAGTTTTGATGTGCTGTATCGTTACTTGGATTAACAGCCTACAATTTTGGCAACATTTATGGACAAAGAAGTTTTTATGAATAATCGTATAAAACAGTGCGTTTGAAATTTTTTTACTTTAAAGTTGATATTTTCAGATGATCAACAATTACATTTTAAGAAAAATGTGATTTCTTCATAAGTGCAGTGTTGATCATTTTATGTTTGGTATGCTAGCAAATTAACATAGTTATATATATCGTGATAAAAGAATCATGATTATTATTATTAAATCATGAGGTAAGTATGTTGTTACATCCCTATAAAATTGTAGTTTTAATAAACCAACTGATAGTTTTACATTTCTCTTATCAATATTCATCACAGTATATAAATGTTTAAGACTTTACATATGTGTTTTTTGAAGAAATAATTTTCAGTGCTTTTTTTCCATTCTTTTGTGTTCTCATGCATCAATAAACTGTATAGTAGAGTTAGTCATGTAGGCTCTCATTGCTGATTGATTTAGGTACAGATACTCAATGACAGTTTATTATGATAAAATGGGACAAGTTATCATTGCTAATAATAGTTAATTAAAAACTGCAAGTAATGTAGTGATTAAAAAAGAAAGATGAAGCACCGGGTGGAAAATGATATAACAAATGTTAAAGAATTTGTTAAGTTTATATAACAGAATCCTAAGTACCTCTCCAGTAAATTTGGTGGGATATATTTTGATTTTTAAGCTAGATGAATTGATGTTTAAAGAAACTTTATTTCAGTTACTTTTTTTTCATTATTAAATCTATATGCACTTATTGTTTGAATAAATATTCCTCAGTTTATTTTATATAGAGCGAAATATTGTTAGTAGTTGAAGTTATTTGTATGGAATTGAGTATGCAATATATTTAGAAAAAACAAGTTTCAGATGCATCCAAGTTGCCCAGTTTGTAGGAATTGAAAATGTACTTAGTGCAAAATTATAGAATGGACAGTGGTGTTACCATGAAACAGTGTTTTGGTATTTTTATAAACGTTTTTCTTTTTATTCCATTTCACATTAGTCATTTAAGTTTCAGAAATATTATTTCTGGATTTATCCCAAAACATTAATTAAAACCTGTTCTGTCTACCTAAAATGATATCTAAGAAGGACTGTGTTTTGTGGCTTTATAGGTTTTAGCCTCTTGTTCAGTAGATAAATCTATTCGTGTGTGGGACATGAGAGCTGCTCCTCAGAAGGCTTGCATGATAACCACTGAAGATGCTCATGAATTAGATATCAATGTCATCAGTTGGAACCGCAAGGAACCTTTTATATTGTCTGGCGGTGATGATGGGGTCATCAAGGTCTGGGATCTTCGACAGTTTAAAGTAAGTAGAGCATTAATAGATTATTTTTATGCCTTAAAAGTTTGTATTGTATATAAAAATTGGAAATTTTTAAAAAAAATTATTAGTCTACTAAAGTAAAAACAGTTACAGAGTTCCAAATACTGACTGGTATTTGACAAGTTACTAATCAAATCTATAAAATTTCACATTTTCACTTTTAATTTGTAAATTTTCATGTGAAAATGATGATGAATACATGTAACTGTCTTCATATTAAACATAAAATTCTAAAGTAGAATGTTAATTAAAATTCATAGCTGAAGTGTGGAAAACCTAAACATGTTCAATATTTTGACCCATACATGGAACATGAAGTTCCAAAAGTATAAAGTAGTTTCTTTGCAATTGTTTTTCAAGTCAGTCAAACTTGCAGGAGCTCAGTTTTTCTAAAATAATAAAATAAATGAAAAAGGGCCTAAAAATATTTTCAAATTTGTTTAGACTGTGCTTTAATTACTGTGAAATTGTACATTAGTTAACAATAAACCTATCACCTGTTTCAGTTACTTTTCGTTTTTCACCTTTATAGCAATTCATCAGAAAAACGTTTGAGGTTTTAATAATTATCTCTTTCTAGTTTATTCATATTTTACAGATTCTTAATGTTAAAATCTTCATTGCTTGTGCCATTATTCAGACTTTCTTTATGAGTCAGAATACCTTGAGTGTTAATTAATGGCAGTATGTATGGTACCTTAATTCTTTTAATAAGCTATTGTCCATGGTAATGAAGGAAGTGGATTCATTTCATAGATAACAAAATGAATAGTTTGTCAAGGGTGGAACTGTAGTTTTAAATTGTATCATTCTTCATCAGCCCAGCTAACCAATGAACAGACGTAATGGCAGATGACGAGTTGTCATCCCATTATCCTTCAGAAATGATAGTTAAAATATTATATAAAAATTTTATGATCTTTGTTTCATGAAAATATGTCAAGGACAATGATAGATACAACACTTAACAAATTATTTAATATGTATGCTATATTATATGAACTGTTATAGTATTTCATTTTCTAATAGCTTTATTTGATTTTTAGAAAGAAAGTGCTGTAGCAACATTCAAACACCACACAGCACCCATTACTTCAGTAGAATGGCATCCAACTGACAGCACTGTTTATGCTGCTTCTGGTTCTGATGACCAGATCTCCCTGTGGGATCTAGCTGTTGAGAGAGATGCTGAAGCTGAAAGAACAGCACAAGAAGAGGCAGAATTAGCAAACCTTCCACCCCAGCTGTTGTTCATTCACCAGGGACAAACTGAAATCAAAGAGTTACACTGGCACCCTCAGATGCCTGGGGTTATAATTAGTACAGCCTTATCTGGTTTTAATATTTTTCGAACCATCAGTGTTTAAAAGGAATGTAACTTTTATTTCCATGTAATTCGAATGTATATAAAAAATTGTTGTCTGGTTAAATTGATTTTGTGGCTTTGATTCTCAAGTCTTTTATTTGTACAGCAACAGAAATATCCTCAGTTTTTAGTGTTATATTCATTTAATTTCCAAATTTGTTTGCAGTGATGAAATGTGTATATGTACATGAGTAATCTTTATTTTACTCAGTAATATATGACTATACTTAAAACTTTTGGATTTTAATAAGATTTAATTCCATTAATTAAAAGGAAATTTATTACTTTTTCACACTAAAGTATTTATTTTGGGTGAGTTTTTGATTACTTTGAAGGTTTTTGAAACATACATTGGGCTGTGGGTTATTATTATAATTGACAAACATGAAATAATTTTCAAACAAAACTTAGCAATAGAACAAACAGTGTATGCCATCTATAGTGGATTGTTTATTCTATTGCTTGGGTTGTGTTTTAAAATAGTTGTTGATTGTAACTATCACATTTGGTCCAATGAAGACTCCAGCAAAAGGACTTGAAGACTTGCAAAAAATAATTATTTAATATGAGAAATGTCCAAAAGTGTCTTTAATTTCTAGTTTTATATCATATTATTAATAAAAAAAAAGCATACTTGAAGATTTATTTGCATTCTTCCATAAAAACTTGAGAGAACAAAATATTTACAACATTAAAAGATCCAAAGAATTTCATAAAATTTATGAAATACTAATAACACTAAAAGATTTGTTATATTTTATGTGTGTGTGTGTATGTATGTTCAATATTTTTGATATATTGCTGTTGGTATGACATTTGACTAGTATAAATAGTGTTTCATAAACTTGTGATAAAAATCAGTTATTTTTCCAAACAAATACTGCTTATGATTTTAATCCATCATGTTAATGTTTCAAGTAGATCAAGTTTATGAAACTTGTAGGCGATTTAAATATAAAGCACATCATTTGAGAAGTAGCCTATGTAAAGTGCTATAAGTCAGGATTTTTCTAATAGTGAATCCAAGCCAGAAACAGATTCCTCTCCTTAAAAATTTAAGAAAAGAGTGTGAAGCAATGGATCTTTATGGATCTGTAACCACATCTAATGTGTTTTTAAACACAACAATTTTCATATTTTTAAAACAAAAGTTATATGATAAAAAAAAATATGGACTACAGTAGGCCTAGTAATTAGCAGTGAATAAAGACTTCATTTCATTTTAAGTGCAGTATGTTTAAAGCAGAAATAAGTACAACATATTTATTTCTTGTACTTTTGGAACCTACTGTATAAACTAATATAAAGTAGTTACAAACTCTTATAATTTGCCTAACTCTCAAAATGATAATGACATAAAAAAAAAGTAATAAACTGTAAGCTTTAACTTTCTTTTGCAGCCAATAAGATACTGCATCAGTCCATCATTCATTTTCAAACTTCTTTCAAAAGTACTAGAATACCTGGATTTTCCAGGATGTAATTTACTAAATCTACCAATGACTTCATTTTTGTCAATCTTTTCACCATAATAAATATGCAGACATTAGGCAAGATTGATTTATTAAGAGATTTATCAGGAAACTGTCTAGGTTAAAAATCAACTAAAATTATTTTTGCTATGGAGGATAATAAGGGATTTGTGTGAACCACTTCATATGACTGCAGGCATATTATGTTTGATCTTGCAAAAAAGTCAATCAATTCAAATGGAATAAGTAAATAAGTGTAGGCTATAGTTAGTGATGTAGCTACGCGATCAGTGATGGAGGAAAAAACACTGTGGATAATATCTAATACATTCTCCTTCACTTTCACTCATGGGTTCTTAGAATTACTAATGTAGTTTTCACCTGTTGATGCTGTAATTGCATGACCCACTCTGAGAATAAGAAAACTGGTTTGTTGGCTTGCAAGTGCTGTGAATTATAATAGTATTACTTCAAATAAACCAATGTTAAAATAAAAAAATGAATAATGTTGTATAATTATTTTTTATCTTATAAATCTGATGGGTAAATGACTTGCTTAATCTGATTCAAACCAAAACAGTTGTTGTTCATGTGAGCTGATAGTATAAATAGCACCTAGACCACTACTATGTCTGTTGTACCGCAGCCAGCCTGATGAGCCCTATTATTTAGTGAAAGACCTTGTTAAGCACTGAATATGTCAGATATGGTATGGATAACATATTATCTTTTGTTTCCTCTCACGGGTTCTTAGTTAGTGTCAACTCTGAGTGTTTTTTAATGGTAACGAACATCAACTCTGAATGTTTTTTAATGGTTATGAACATCAACTTTAAAAGTTGTTTAGCTAAGTTGAGCCTGAAGTATGGTGTCATTGTGAAGTCAAGATAAATTATAAAACTGATCCTGGGAGGAAAATATTCAGTATTTTTATTACGTGTATTAGAAATAGCCTTCAAGTATTTCATATCTAATTAATTGACCTAAACCTCTTGTGTCTGACTAACTTCCGTCCCACCAAACGTGCTCATCCTTTCAGCCTTGGGGGAATTATAATGTGAGGGTCAATCCCACTAATCGTTGGTAAAAGAGTAACCCAAGAGTTAGTGGTGGGTGGTGATGACTAGCTGCCTTCAAAAACAAACAAACTGACTAACTAGTGAAAGTACATCACTTGATTTTATACATCTGCAAATTTATTTTTCTTTGTCATGTGGGAATTAACCTTGATTGGAACTTTCTTGTTACATAATTAGACTTCATTCAGTAGCTTTGCATTGAGCTCTGATTATTATACTTTTTTCTTAATATTTGTGTTACAAAAAATGTTTTGGAAAGCTAAACAATTTAAGAATGTCAGTCCAATTTGTATTTACACACAAAATTGCGCTGACTCCAGAAGCTAGAAAATGTTAGACAACATTATGTGTTATAAAAACGAAAATATTTTAATGATAAGCAAACAATCTTTTGTTGTTGTTAGCAATTTTCTTTGCCTGCAATTCCTTCTTCAGAGTTAGCAAATTTTCATCATCCTTCATGAAGTTTCTCGGTAATCTTGAATAATTTTTGATAAGAATTACTTCATTAATATTTTTACGCAGTAGTTAAGGTATTTTTCTTTAAAGAATTCCAACATTGTGTCACATGGATTCAAAGTTCATCCTTTATAGTACGACTGGCAATCTGATGGTCACGGGTTTCGAATCCCCGCCCAGCCAACATGCTTGTCCTTTCAGCCGTGGGAGCGTTATAATGTGACAGTCAGTCCCACTATTCGTTAGTAAAAGAGTAGCCCAAGAGTTTGCGGTGGATAGTGATGACTAGCTACCTTCCCTCTAATCTTTCACTGCTATATTAGTTTTGCACGAAATTCAAAACAAACATCTGTAGTAGATTTACATCCTATCATATTATTCATTTAAATTACTGGATCTTTTAAAGATATTTATGTGCAGATAAAAATACGCACGGAGTTAAAAGTACTAAGGCCACTTCTAGAGTGGATTATATTTAGGATCATTTCCTATTGGATAACCTCCAGTTCAAAATTTTGTAAATGTCATTTATATGAAAGAAAATTTAAATGATTTCCTATTCAGTAATTCCTTAAAGAGAATGCTTAAATATTATACAATTTTCTGATCAAATGTAGTATTTCTAATGAAGGAAACATACGTTGTTGTAATAATTAACATGCATTTATCATTACTCCATAAAGATGTGATTTGTTAAGACTTGTATAGGAAACTGCAGGAAACGTCTGCGTTGTTTACGGTTTCTTATATTCTGTGAAACATGTATAGCAACCAGGGATGGGGCGAATACTGCAGATCAGTAATCAAATACGAATAATTCATATTTTTATGAATGCGAAAGCAAATACAAGAAAAATGCTAAGTATATAAATACATAGGAATATATTCATGAATATTTTTCGGGTAATATACAATAATGATAAAACAGCAAATGATAAGATTTCAATACTTTTATTTTATGAAACAAACTTTTTAGAATCTGAAACAAACAAAATTTGAACAAATAATAACATTTCAGTATTTAAAAAATACTTATAGATATTATATCTGTCAGTGAGGCGGCAGCGATCAGGTCTGAGAGTTCTACGTCAATGCTCAAGGGGGGGGGCAGAGGATTCTGGAACATTTGGGTAGCATTTGGCTTGTATAGCTAGAATAGGAGCGTCTTTTTCATAAATTTTCCAATGATCTGGAGGGTTGCAATCTTCAGGAATGCAAGGACCATCGAGGTAGGTGTTGATCTGTGTATTCTCTGAAAATGAGGTGGCTGGTTTCTTGGAGGCAGCAGAGAAACTAAAGAGCTTAGTTTTTTTTTTGCGAGGGGGGATTTACAGTCCTCTTGTGGTTCCACGGTTGTATGATTATTTGTTGAGGAAACTTTCTGAACTTCTTGCTGCAGGAGCATTTGATTGGATACATAGACCATAGGTCTAATGAAACACCAGTCAAGTTTAAATCTGGGATCCAATGCAGAAGCCACTTCGTTGTTCATACTGAGTCAGCCTGGCATAAACAAGTTTCTTCAGTGCAGAGAAAAGATTGAAATTATATGTGGACTGCATGTTGACAATCATCAGCTCATAAACACGTGACACTACATAATTGGAGGTAACAATGTTCTGTCCCCTCTTCAAAATATGTCAGTATTGTCATCAAATCTGCAAGCGAAGTTCGATCATGAAAAGTAAGTTTCGATGTACCATTATCCAGATTATCCAACTTCTCCTTGGGAATCTTCAATAAATAATTAATCATCTTAATTTCTGAGTTCCATCGTGTTGGTGTTACCAACTGAACTCTGGCCTCTCCCTCAAGTAGATCAGTTGCTTGTGTTGATTTTCGAATGTAAAGCACGATGGCTGATATTTTGGAAATTACTTTCAGCAGGGGGCCATGTCCAGGAAGAAATTCGATTAAATTATCTGCTGATTTAGATTCATCCAAAAATTCATCTTCGAGACATTATCTGTAGATGAGCTATCACCATCTCTATCACTAGGTAGTGAAGCCTTGTTCATGTTGGATGCGTAATCAGATGCCACATATGACACCTT